TGTGTGCTGTGTGTGTGCTGTGTGTATGTATGTGTGTGCTGTGTGTGTGTGCTGTGTGTGTGCTGTGTGTGTGTGTGCTGTGTGTGTGTGCTGTGTGTGTGAAGCCTGAGCCAGTGTGCATGTGTGTGCTGGGTGTGTGAAGCCAGTGTGGGTGTGTGTGTGCTGGGTGTGTGCACTCTGGAGCCAGTGTGCATGTGTGTGCCATGTATGCATGTGTTTTCGCCCTGTGTGTGTGCACCCAAGCTAGTGTGCATGTGTATTTGTGTGCAACCTGCTGCAGAACTGCTGGTGTATCACCTGAACATCTGTGTGGGCCTCCTCCCTGCCTGGCCTCCCCCTCAGCCTCCCCTGAACCCCCTACCTACCCCCACCCCCTCCAGGACCACTCTCCAGGGTGGCCGTCCCTGGGAAGCTCTGGTCTCTGTTCAGATGCACACTGCCCTGCTCAAAACCCAACTTTGGGCTTGCAGCTGGAGGCCACGCCCAAGGCCTTGCCACGGCCAGCCCAGCCCAAGCGGGTCACAGAGGGAAGCGACTGTGGCTGCATCTGGGTTCTCAAAGGTCAGCCTGAAGATGCCACACAAGGGTCCTGTCTGCAGCAGCACTCTACACAGCTGTCCCAAACAGGCCCCCAAATCTGTCCCATGATGGGTGGAATGGCGGCTACCCAGCCCATGCCCATCCCAGCGTGGCCAAGCCACCCAAGCCAGAACACAGAAAGAGGCACTTGCCCTGGACCCCTGGAAGTTGGGGTGTTGGGTGCCTCTGTGGGTGAGGCTGGGGGTGCCTCTGACTCAGGGCGGCAGGCCTTGGACCCAGAGAGAAGCTGCAGGGCCTGGGGAGGGGATGGTGACCGGTGCCACTTGGCAGGAGACTCCCCTGACTCCCGCTGAGCCCGTGTGCTGTGGTCAAACGCGTCAGTGCCGGGCAGGGAGGGGTGTGGGACAGGGTGCGCCCTGTGTTTGGAGGTGGCCGCAGCACCCCTGGGGGCCCCTGACAGGGCTGGTGGGCTGCATGGGGGGCAGGGCGCCAGGATGCTGGGCTCCAGAGACTCAGTCCACAGACCCAGCTGGGCTTTGGGACCTCCAGCCACCCTCGGAAGGAGTGGGGGTGACAGTTGGCCGCTCTGTGTCGGGCGGGTGAGGGATCCTGGGGTGAGGAAGACCTGGAGCTTCCCTGGTGGGAGGCCGGTGCCGGAGCTCCCTGGGAGGGGTGTCTGCTGGAGAAGGGGACCAGTAGGACACTGAGCTCCAGAGGCTGGGGACACTGTGGATTCCGTGGGGTGCCGGTCACGTGGCCAGCATCAGGGGTTTTGGCCTCGTTTCCCACACTCACACACTGAGGCCTTCACGACAGCCACGGAATCTCGACCACACCATGAAGCCCCCTCTCCAGATGGGAAAATAAAAGTGCAAACACATCAGGCCCCCTGTCTCGGTCACCCAGTGGGAAGTGGGATCTGGGTGGTGCCCAGGTCCTGGGTTGCGGGTCCTGTGTGCTCCGCCTGTGTGGACTGGGGTGTCTTCCCCACGGCTCTGGTATTCCCGGCTGTTCTGACTTTTCCTGGCCAAGGCCCCCTGGGAAGAAGACGCCATAGCCAGGGCCTCCCTAGGCTCAAGTAGCCGAGGAGGGCCAGGAAGGGACTGAGCTGCAGCTCCTGAAATTCCACCGGGACCCGCCCAACAGGCTGCCCTTCCCCGGCCCCCAGCACCTGCCATGTGGGCTGGGCCAACGCCCATAAAGGAGCCGCCCAAGGGAGCCCATGGTGCCTGCGGGCCCTGGAGAGGCCTCGGGGGCCCAGGCAAGAGGTGGGCTTCCTTCCCAGTGATGTCATCGTGGTGCAGAGCCTCCCACCCACAGGCTCTTTCCTGTGCCCCACCGCCCACCCTGCAGGCCCTGCCCGGCTGCCGCTCTCAAGGTCCCCAAAGGACAGCAGGAGGAGTCCCAATCACGCTGGGCAGGGGACAGCGCAGACAGGCGCCCAGAGGCAGGGCTGTAGGGGCACCCTGCTGGGGACCCTTATTTCCCAGAGGCCCAGAGTGGGAGTGGGCCTGGGCAAGGCTACTGGGCCCGACAGTGACAGTGCCTAGGGCTGGGGGGACTTCCCTCAGGGCCAGCAGGTGGCAGAGATGCAAGGTGGCCAGGATCAGTCCCCCAGTTTCCAGCCACCTCTGGGGCAGCCCTAGTCCCAGCTTCTACCCTCCTGGGGTGCTGGGGAGCTCTGGGAAGGGAGGGGAGGGAGGGAGGCTGCCAGCCTGGTGATTTTGGGGAGAAGTTGGCAGCTGTGAGCAAAATGACCCGGGATTGTAGAAATTCACCCAGACGGGCGCCCGCAGCCTCATGCCAGAGGTCAGCAGGGGAGTCAGTGGGGCTGGCTTTTTCTTCCCAAGTCTGCCTTCTCTGGGTTTGTCAGACTTGCCGAGGGCAGCTAGGAGAATGGGCCAGGGGAACTGGGAAGGAGGGTCTTGCCCAGGCCTGGGTGGAGGCTGCAGTGGAGCTGTGAAGGAGAATAAGCCTACCAGGGTGGGGAGGGGGAGGGCAGGGAAGGGGTGGGGAGGGGCTGCGGCTCATGGGGGCTTCACAGGGCTGGGTGAGACACCTGAGCTCTGGTCCAGGGTCACCCTCAGCCACTCCTCCCACCCCAGCCCTCCCACTCTGGAAGTCCAGGCTGGAGGCTCTCTGGGTGCTGAGGCCCCCTGGAAGGAGCAGGGCAAGGGGAGGGCAGGCTGGTCAGCTGTGGTCCCAACCGCGGCTCCCAGCTGGGCCGTGGGAGGGGCAGGTGTGAGGGGCATGTGGCTGCCTCCCTGTCTATACCACCCTCACCCCACCATGCCTCGCCCTCTGGTCCATTTTGCCACTGATAACACAACCCAGAGGTGGGGTCTGGTTCATGGTCAAAGCTAGTGAGAACGGGGCTGGGCTTCGGCTCGCCCAGGCCCACACTCGCCTCCTGTGTCAGGTGCTACTGTCGCCAGCACGTGCGCCTTCTGGGGACTCCTATGCCGTCCAGGGACTGCTCCTAAAACCGAGGGGCAGCGTGCTGCTCTCACCAGGATGGAACAGAGCGAATCCAATAAACCAGTGCCTCTCATCCCCCGACAGGGCCCACGAGAGCCTCCACGGGAGCCTGAGGCTGGCAGACCACCTTCCACCTCGTGTCCTCACCCCGGGAACGAGCATCCATTGTGGGCTCTGCCTGTCCCTCAGGACGCCCACCTCCCTCTGGGGGCCCCCAGGGCCCCCACCTGCCCTCCTAGTCTCCATCCACCCTCCTAGGGCCCTCCAGAGTGGCCACTCAGAGGGGTAGAGGTTTGCTATTGTTGATCCCACCCGATGAGTTCTCAGAGCTGCAGCAGAGAGGGTGCACCCCCCATGCAGAGCTGGCTGGGGTGGGGCAGGGTTCACTCCTGAAGGGTTCTGGCTGGAAAGTCCGTCTGTGCAGACAGCTTAATGGTGTGGGCTTCCCAGTTTACAGCCCTGGGGAGGCTCTGGGACCGGTCTGCTCTCTCTGCCACCTTGGGCAAGTTGCTTTTCCTCTTTGAGCCTTGTCCTCACATGGGGGTGACAGCTCACCCCGCCCCTGTGTCAGGCTGCTGTGAAGACGGGAGTCTCAGTGAGCAGCAGAGGGAGACCCCGAGTTCACCTGCGCCTCCCTCATGTGGGTCCCCAGGGGTCCAGTAGTGCTGATGGAGGACTCTCCATGCCTTGACAAGGTCAAGTCCCATTGCCACAAAGACTTTGTGCAGTGGACATGGCCCTCCCACCCTCAGGGCAGAGGTCCAGCTTTCGCCAGTGATGACACTCATCCTTGGATTGCTGCTCACTACGGACTCCACCAGGCTCACGGCGTCTCTGTGGCTGTGCCCAGGGGAGGTGCCCCCTGCCTCCCACACACAGGCCAGGGAACCACAGGCCCAGCCATGGACCTAGTGGGACTGGGCATCGTCTGGCTGAGTGGCAAAGCCCACAGTGCTGCCTGCTCTTGCTCTGCCCTCTGGGAGACCGGGCCCCTGGGCTTCTCTGCTGTCTGAGCAGGCAGCATCAGGGCATCACAGGGCTCCCTGCCCTCCCAGGGCACTCAACCAGAGGAGCTGCCTGGGCACCTCCTCTGGTTCAGGGCTCAAGGACATCTGCCAGGCTGGCTGCTCTTTACCCCAGCCACTGCTCCCCAGCAGGCCCTTTGGGGCAGGAATGCTGAGCTGGACCCTGGTACCCTCCGTCTCTGAGACCTGGGCTGTCTGCGTGTCCATCTGAGTGAATGACCACCTATCCAGGAGCAATGGTGCCACTGCAGCAGTGGCAGTGGCAGTAGCAGTGGTAGCAGTAGCGGCAGTAACAGTGGCAGTGGCAATAGCAGTAGCAGTGGCAGTGGCAGTGGCAGTAGCAGTAGTGGTAGTAGTGGCAGTGGCAGTGGTAGCGGCAGTGGTGAGGGTGGTGGCAGTGATAGTGGCAGGAGCAGTGGCAGTGGCAGTGGTAGTGGCAGTAGCAGTGGCAGCGGTAGTGGCAGTAACTGTGGCAGTAGCAGTGGCAGTGGCAATCACAGTGACAATGGCAGTGGCAGTAGCAGTGGTAGTGATAGTGGCAGCAAATAGTGGCAGTAGCAATGGTAGTGGCAGTAGTGGCAGTGGCAGTAGCGGCAGTGGCAGTAGCAGCAGTAGTGGCAGTAGCAGTGGCAGTAACAGTGGCAGTGGCAGTAGCAGTGGCAGTGGCAGTAGCAGTGGCAGTAGCAATCACAGTGACAATGGTGGTAGCAGTAGCAGTGGTAGTGGCAGTAGTGGCAGTAGCAGTGGCAGCAGTAGTGGCAGTAGCAGTGGCAGTAGCAATCACAGTGACAATGGTGGTGGCAGTAGCAGTGGTAGTGGCAGTGGCAGTAGCAGTGGCAGCACTAGTGGCAGTAACAGTGGCAGTAACAGTGGCAGTGGCAGTAGCAGTGGCAGTAGCAATCACAGTGACAATGGTGGTGACAGTAGCGGTGGTAGTGGCAATAGCAGTGGCAGTGGCAGTGGCAGTAGCTGCTGTTCCTCACATGCTGCTCTGTGCTGAGCACCAAGCCCAGGCTTTTTTCCACTTGCATGGGCACTGAAAGCATCCTGCAGTTTTGCTGAAGAAGCCAAGCTCAGAGCGGTGCCCTCTGCACCTCAACCTGTCCCTGTCCCCATCCACCTCCTGCCTAGCCCCATGGAGCACCCGTTGCATAGCCAGGCTGGACACACGCATGTGGTTGGGGCCCACCTGGCCTTGGAGGAAGTACTGATTGTCTCATTCTACAGGTTTGGAGAATTAATCAGTTCAGAGATGAGCAGGTAGGGCAAAATTTGGGCCTGGACATGGCCTCCGAGTCTCCTCCCACCCTCTGTGGTAATGGGCAAAGCCTATCCCATGGACACTTTGGCCAGGTCTCTTGTCTGGCCATGCCTCAGTTTCCCTGACTGTAGCACAGACGGCTGTGGTGAGTTCTGACCTAGGCTCCTGGGGGCTGTCAGGGGACCTGGTACCTGGTGGGTGCCCCAATGCCAGATCAGGGCCAGGCAGCCAGGGACAGCCTGGGAGTGGAGCTGCCTCACATCTGCCCATGATGTGGCCGAGGCAACCCTCACTTTGTAGAGGAAGAAGCTAAGGCTCAGAGGTGTCACCTGTCCACTGACCCCAGCATGCAAGGACACAGCCAGAACACAGCCAGGGCCTCCTTGTGACCTCCCGGGCCAGTTCAGGCGGGGGGATTGTGGGGGGGGATGTCCAGAAAGGTGTCTCTGCCAGCGCAGTTTCTGATGTCCTCCAGACACAGAGACCCACGACAGACATGTGCACACGAGTGACACCCACACCCACACGCATGAACAGCGGCATCCTAACTTGGAGAGCACACACTGGTCCAACAAGCAGACGCCCAGCACCGCCACCAACACCCTCCCCTGCTGTGCACACAGCCACCACGCGCATTCTGTGTGTGCACTTGCACGCGTGTATCCCACTGACGTGTGCCCCCCCATGCACTTGCGTGCACACATGCACAGAGGAGCAGGTGTCCCTGCCGCTCAGGTAACAGCAGCCCTGCAACCTGACTCCCTCCCGGAGGTGGGCTGGGCTGCTCTCCTGCCCGCCGGCTGCCTCCCTGAGGCCTGGCCAGTGGGGGAGGGGGTGGAGCAAGGCCTGCCTTTGTGGCTGCCTCCCCACAGACACAGTGGCAGAGGAGTCCCCCTGCTCAGCACCCAGCTGTGGGCTCTGCACCCTGGCACCTCCCTCAGCCCCGTGGCTGCGCCCACATATCCTCTTGCGAACCTGGATGGTGGGGCGGGGCAGGCCCAGGGTGGAGGGTGAGGCCACCAGCCCATCCCCGATCCCCCAAGCCCCTCAGTAGACTAGGGACACTTCCTGGGCCATGGTCCCAGACCAGGCCTGGCCTCTCTGCCCCCAGCTCCTGCCTGGGAAGCCCACTGAACCTGTCACTAGGTCCCTGGAGCGGGAGCAACCTTGTGCCATCCCATAGGGAAGGCGTCCCGTCCCACCCACCCCCACGGCCCTGCTCTCGAGAGCCTCAGCAGGGCCTCCAGCCTCCCTGGTGAGTGCCCCAGCCAGGGATCCCAGCCCACCCGCTGCTTGAGCTGCCTGGCCCTGGGGTCCTGGGTACTCACATGGCCCCTGGCTCCGCCTCGACCTCCGTGGACCTCTGTGCCGAGCCCCCACGCTGTCCACCGGGAGAGAGAGCAGTGAGCAGTGAGAGAGCTTGCACAGGCAGCAAGACATGATTTTGGCCAAACCCGCCTGGCAGGTTTGCGATTCTCCCAGCCAGGAGCAGAAAGGAGGCAGAGCCTGCCCGAGCCGCCAGGCGGGTCCTGCCAGCTCACAGAAAGTGGCCCGACAGGTCGGGTCTGCAGGCACAAGGGACGGGATTGTTTCCTCATAATCGCGGGAGCCAAGCTGTCAGCACCGAGAGTCCAGGCTGGGGCCCGGACACGAAGGGCCTGGGCGAGGAGGGTGCGGGCTTGCAGGGGTGCTCGGGTCGGGGGCTGCATGCGGGAGTGAGCAGGCGTGCTGACTCAGCAGCTTGGGACAGGTGGTAGGGCCTCTGACCCGGGTGGTCCCTCCTGCTGTTCATAACTCAGCCCCGTGGGCAGTCCCCTTTCTGGCCTTGGTTTCTCTGTCTATAAATTGGGGATAATCAGCTCAAGGCCTGTCCCTGCCAAGCCCGGTGGACGGAAATCCCGCAGCTGCTACTGGAAGCGACCCGCCCAGCATGTCCCGCCCTGCCCGGGACAGCGGGCCTTCCGATTGTGGGGGACTGGGCAGGTGCTGGCCTCTGGTCTGCCCACCTGCTCGGGGTCTGCATGTGCTCAGTGAGTGGGCTTCTCTGGTCTCCAGGTAGGCTGGTGTCCCCGGCCAGGTGGAGCCCAAGGGGGCAGATGGGCTAGGGGCTGGCCCAGGTGCTGGAGCAGCCTCACACTGTGGTCTCATGTATGTGTTCCCTGGACAGCGACGCTGTGGCTGCACTCGTGGGGAAGACTGTGGCCCTGACCCCCGTGCCCCACCCCCGTGTCCTACCCACAACCCCTCCCCACTCCCTCCTCCTGCCTCCCTCATTTTCAGCCTGTCTAAGTTCCACACAGAAGCACAGCGGGGGTTCCTGAGTCCTTAGGGCCACGATCCCCAGGGCACGCGAGTGGACCCAGGAATGCACAGGGCTCAGAGGAGGAAGCCTGGGGGCCTGGACTGCAGCCCCGCCTCCAGGGGAGGACGGACTTCCTGCTCCCCTGCAGAGCCCCTGCTGGTGGCTGGTGACCCAGCTCTGGGCTTGGGATGAGGGCTGGGTCATCTCTGGCCCCACGATCCTCTCCCACTCAGGGCTGGGCTCTGGGGAGGGGGTTGTGGTCATCAGGGGGCCACTCCGGCTCTGTCTGGCCTTGGAGCTTTGTGGAGGCCCCTCCTCGGGCTGCCTCCCTGCTCCTGGCTGGGCCCTTTGTGAATGGCTGCTTGCTGCTGGCGTGTGTTTGGCAGGTAACTGTGTGGGGACTGTGCACATGTGTGAGCATGTGTGTGTATGTGTGTGTGTATGTGTTACGTATATGTGCCTGTGTGTGCATGTGTGTTGCACATATGTGCCTGTTGTGTGTGCGCACACATGTGTGCATGTATGCCTGTGTTTGTGTGCACATGTGTGCATGTGAGCATGTGTGTGTGCATGTGTTGCGAATGTTTGTGTATGTTGTGTGTGCGTGTGTGTGCCTATGCTGCACCTGTGTGTTGCACGTGTGTGTGCCCGTGTTGTGTGTGCCTGTGTTTCGTGTGTATGCCTGTGTTGTGCCTGTGTGTTGTATGTGTGTGTGCCTGTGTTGCGTGTGTGTGCATCTGTGCGTGCACACATGTAGCTGCTTTGTGCTGTGGTCTGGATGTTCTCTGATTCTCGTTGAAATTCCAACCCCCAAGGCAATGATGTCAGCAGGCGGGGCCTGTGACGGATGACAAGGTCATGAGGCTGCTGCTCTCCTGAGTGGGATCAGCGTCCTTCCACAGGAGGCTCCAGGGAGGTCCCTTGCCCCTTTTACCATGTGAGGACCCAAGATGGTGCTGTCTATAGACCAGGAAGTGAGTCCTCTCTGGACACGGACCGAGCTGGTGCCTCGACCCTGAACTTGCAGCCTCCAGCGTGCATGCGGGTGCAGCACCACCTCTGAGCTGCTGCTCTGGGCTCACTGCCTAAGGGGAGACCTGCCTCACGGCGGGGGCCCTCTGCTGCTGCTGTGCACTGCCGCTTCAATAAAAGCTGCTGTCCAAAACCACTGCTCGCCCTTGAGTTCCTCCCTGGGTGATGCCAAGCGCCCTCCTGCCCTGAGCCCAGTGCTGGCACCTGCCTGTCCTCCCTGATCGGCCGGGGACCCCGCCCCGCTGTGTGCAGTTCTTGGTGATACAGGACAGAGAGGCCCTTGCAGGCTGTGCCTGTGGCTGGGTCCCCAGGGGGAAGGTGGCACCCCTGAACTCCAGGCCACATTGTGAGCCCCCTGGCACTGCACCTGCACCTCGGGCAGAGACGGAGGGAAGGCTGGGAGAGGAGGAGGAGGGCGGATGTCCCGGGGGTCGGCGTCCCTCTACAGCCGTTCGACTGCACCTGCACCTCGGGCAGAGACGGAGGGAAGGCTGGGAGAGGAGGAGGAGGGCGGATGTCCCGGAGGTCGGCGTCCCTCTACAGCCGTTCGTTTGTGTGCTCCTTTGTTCATTCTTGAACCATCCATGACCCATTTCCTGGCCGTCCACCAGGCCCTGTCCAGGCACGTGGATGGCCATCAATGTGACCCACACATTTAGGGGTCTTTTGGCTGTGAGAGTCGGCACGTAGAGGCCACTGAGCCTCCGTGTCCTCATCCTTTGCAGGCTGATGAGGATGAAGGGGGTCTCCTCCTGGCGCCACGCCCCTGTTGGTTCAGCCAACGTCTGTGGAATCCTGATCAGCCAGGAGCTGGGGGGGTGATGGACACCCAGGCGCTGGGGTCCGGGCTCACAGAAAGCATCGCAGAACCAGACAGCAGGCCCTCAATACACTGCTGGCAAACTGCAGCCAGGTTTCAGAGTTCGTGGGCTGCGCCATTGCCTCATTCTACAGCTGAGGCATGAGGCCCCCAGGGGGTGTGTGGCCTCCCAGCCCCAGCAGCCACCCCCACCTGCACCTGAGGGGCTGGGGCTGCTGAGCCTGGGGAGAGGGGTTAAGGGGGCTCCCCATGGCCCTCCACGCCTGTTTCCTGCACCAGATGGGGGCACCATGCCGTGCCCCAGGGGTGAGGCTGCTCCCGAGCCTTTTATCCCAGAGCTGGGAGGGGTGGGAGGGAGATAAGCTTCAAAGGCATTTCGCTGTAAACGCACCTTGAAAAGCCGGCAAGCCAGCGCTGCTGCCTGGTATTTGTGTTGCTGGAGTGATAGATAAGGGGTGGGTGGGCGACGTGGTGGCCCGGCCAGGTCAGCCCTGCAGCCCTGGCTTCCAGATAAATGGGTCACCTATTAGCATGGCCCTGGAGTAGGGGAGCTGCCTTCTGTGATGACCTGGGCCTGTCCCCACCTTCCCTGCAGACAAGCCCTTGCTGTCCTGGCTAGGGGGGCATCCTGATGGTGGGTGCTGTGTACCCCTGGGCCAGGCTGCACTGGGTGGCAGGGGCGCAGATGTGGGCGCTGCCTGGGCACCGGGGAGGTGGAGGGCCTGAGGTTTTCTTGGTGGGAGGAAGGACAAAGCCCCCATCTTCCCTCCACATGGTCTCAATGCTACTCACCTGTTTTATGCTACCACACTGTTTTTTTTAGACACAGTCTCACTGTCGTCTAGGCTGGAGTGCAGTGGCCCGATCTTGGCTCACTGCAACCTCCGCCTCCCGGGTTCAGGGGATTCTTCCGCCTCAGCCTACTGAGTATCTGGGATTATAGGTGCGTGCCAGCCTGCCCAGCTAATTTTTGCATTTTAGTACAGATGGGGTTTCACCACGTTGGCCAGGCTGGTCTTGAACTCCAGACCTTGTGATCCGCCCACCTTGGCCTCCCAAAGTGCTGGGATTACAGGTGTGAGCCACCGCGCCTGGCCCATGATTTGTTTGTATGGATTCCTGGGGTCTAGATACAGTTGTGTGCACGAAGACGTTGCCTTGTGGCGAGGGCAGGGCCTCCGGTGCGTCTGGCGAGGTGCGATGCACGTGGCACCCCCAGCAGCCACCCGCCCTCCCTGCCCCCCACCCTGCACGGCCCCATTGTCCGTCCGTCCGTCCCTCCGTCCGTCCGCACTCCCACGAGCACATGTGACTCAGCTCCCACTTATGCGTGAGAACCTGCAGTATTTGTCTTTCTGTGTCTGAGTTGTTTCACTGAAGATAACGTAGGCACCCTCTTTTAAAAATTACTTTTTGATAACACAGGAAGTGCATGGAGGCCCCCACCCGCCTGCGAAGCACTAAACACAGCAAATAAGACCAAAGTCTCTTTTTATTGTCGCGTCTCGTCCCCTCCCCGGAGCCTCTGCTCGGGGTGCGCGTGCTTCCTGCCTGTGCGCCTCCGCGTGAGCACCTGCCCGCGCTGCGGCCATCTTAAGGCGAACGCTCGGTGCCATTTCGTACCTTCGAAAGTCTGTGCCGCCATCGCTGTGATCTGATTCCAACTCATTTCATCACCTCAGGGAAAACCTGTACCTGTCTGCAGTCACTGCGCGAGCGTCTCCACCTCTATGGATGTGCCTATGCTGACATTTCATGAAAACAGAACCCTATAGTACTGGCCCCTTCATGTCGGAGCCCTTTCTCTGAGAGCTTTTTTTTTTAAGGCTCAGCTGGGCGTCACTCCTGTTCCTGGCTGAATAATATTCCAGGGCATGGCTGGACCACATTCATCAGTGGAGGGATGCTTGGTGGTCTCACTTTCTGCTGGTGTGAATGAACATGGCGTGAGGATTTTGGTTGAACACTTGGCCTTAGCCCTATTGGGTGGAATTGATGGGGCTTATGGTAACCCTAAATTTAACTTTTTTTTTTTGAGACAGAATTTTGCTCTTGTCATCCAGGCTGGAGTGCAGTGGCACGATCTCAGCTCACTACAACCTCCGCCTCCTGGATTCAAGCGATTCTCCTGTCTCAGCCTCTCGAGTAGGTGGGACTACAGGCATGCGCTACCATACCCGGCTAGTTTTTGTATTTTTAGTAGAGACGGGTTTTCACCATATTAGTCAGGCTGGTCTCGAACTCCTGGCCTCAGGTGATCCACCTGCCTCAGCCTCCCAAAGTGTTGGGATTACAGGTGTGAGCCACTGCACCCGGCCAATGAGATATTTTTAAGAAATCTAAGCTAATGGGAAAAATTCACAATGAACCAAACATCCACGTTTCATGGAAAGAC